ATTAGTCATAGATTGAAAAAACTTTGGTGTGATGAGGAGTCTAATTCAGTCTGTAATCATACCAGTGATTATGTTTGCACAGCAAAGAAAGCGAGGACCATTTTAAAAAAAGTTCTTACAACATCAGCAGCACAATCACTTTAAACAACTGCTTGGTGCCATTTTGCAGGAAAAGCTCAGCCATTGTGTGAAGAGAGGGACAATGTTTGATTGGATCCTGACCATCTGTTGTCCTTAACAAGTCTGCCCCATCCTCTATGTCTGCAAGAGAGCACACGACAACCATAACGCATAAAAATAGTTTGTAAATTTATGGCAAAGTGAGCACTTGATCCAAGACTGATCCACAATTCAGGAACTTATACCACTTTTCATAGACGTGATTGGTTTTATCACTCCTTCCCCTGGCCAGGATACTACATCATTGCAGAACAGTTTGTAAATTTGTGGTAAAGTCAGCACTTGAGCCAAGACTGATCCACAATGTGGGAACTTACACCACTTTCCATAGCATGAAGTGATTGGGTGTATTACTTCTTCCCCTGGACAAGATACTAGTTCATTTCCTCCCCCTCTGCTCCCAGCATTTCCTAACAGTTCATTGATACCCATGTAAAACTTCTGGATGGTGAGAGATACTGCAATTTAGAGTAAATTTTCTTGCCCAAAAACACAACATAATAACCAAGACAGGGTTTAAAACCCAGACCTCTCAATTCACCGTCCAGCTTGCTAATTATCAAACTACCACATCTTCTGTGAATTTATTAATGAAAGACTTCCCAAGCTTAATAGACAGCCACTCAAACTTTTAAACTTTTAAATTACAGAAGGTCTGGTAAAGAATAAAAGTGATTAAAAACAATCCTGGTCAAGCTTCTGTTTGTGAGGTGGGTCACTTACAGATGGTTTTTCAACCCCCTGCCAAACCCATCCAGCAAACCACACAATGTTTCAAGTATTTCCAAGGATGGATTATTATAAAAAGACAAGTTTTAGGCTGTGAATGTGAAACCTCATAACTAGATATTTCAGGATGCACAAAATGCAATGTTGTTCCCAAAGGTTATACTTTAAAGACCAAATATTGAAATGAAGTAAAGCGGAGGTTACTGATGATGAGGTTTTGAGTAACATGGAGTCAGTTAAATAGGTATCAAGGACAAAATTACAAGTATTAAAATCTTCCAACCTTTGTCATTTCTGCAGAGCTCCAGGTCCATTTCTGATTTAGCATTTTGTTCCTCATCATCATTTGACTCCATATCATTCAGGGGAACATCTTCCTCCTCTGTCAGCTAAATGTGTCAAAAGAAAAGAATTAAGAATTGTTAAAAAAAAAAGCAACGTCAACCCCTTGTGGTTGATCCTGGCAACTGTTGAACTTTCTTGTCTGGAGAGTAACATGCTAGCAGAATTCAATACAAGACTTACGACATTTGCTTCAAAGACATCTTGTCTATTAGCTTGATAGCTTCTTTGTAACAGCTCCAGGAAATATAACACTATCAAAATCTGCCAGTTGAGAACAACACATTATAATTATAATAAAGATCAAAATTATTAGACAAAAGAGTACTTAATGAATATTTGGCAACAAATATCTCTAAGTACTTCATCACCCTGTACCTATACATTTAACTTTGGGCACAAGATCATAATCTCTCCCCGCATTGGGTACATTGTTTAACCTGTTAATGTAATTTTGGACATTCTTGAAAATACCTTTTTTTTCTACATGCTATTACAATCTAAACAGTTGTTGCTTGGAGCGCTGTATTCCACCCAGGCATACATGCAAATGACCAGATCTGCTGTGGTTATCCAGCAAAATGAAAAAATATCAACAACCACTGCAGACAAATTTCAAGTTCTTTGCAAGTAGACTCTCTGCAAGATAGATTAATTTTACAGAAGGTCTGCTGGCGACTTAAACAATCTTGTAAATAAAATAGGAAAGATAGTAAGTTTTGAGCTTGTAAAGAAATAGAAAAAGTTGTTTTTTTCATCTTTTTATGAGCGTGGGACAAAGAAAAAATTCTGAGTCCCCATGATGAATCTGACCCCGACCTTCAGATTCCATGATCCCCTTTTGAATCCTCTACCACTGAGCCACAGAGACTTTATGGTGAGCGAGGTCTATTATGAAGTTCGTATGACATGCATCCTGCATACTACTAGGATTAGCAATGTTGATAATCTTATGATTTGTGAATAGAAACAACCTTGTGGGCAAAGCCACTTATGTTACAACACTAACGAGAGCGGCACATGTAGTGACTTAATGGTCAGTGCGCTGGACTCCAGGTCAAGAGGTCTAGGTTCAAGACCAGGAGCAGTCATCGTGTTGTATTCTTGGGGAAAACCCTTTCCTCTTAACTAACAGTACCTCTCTCCATCCAGGAGTATGAATGGGTATCTGCAAATTGTCAGGGAAGCCTTGCAAAATTGTGGGGTGTAACCTTGTGATGGACTGGTATCCCATCTAGGGGGGGAGTAGTGATACTCCTAGTCCCTTAATGCTAGGGAAAGCAGGATTAGCCCCACCTGGGTGGGCCACTTAGCTTAAGTGCAGACTTTACCTATCAGAGCCTGCTTCCTAGATAATCCTTGGCAAAACCAGAAATCACATCTAGCCTTCATCTTACCTGTACAAGAGTCTCAGTCAAAAGTACCACTATAACAGGCAAATATCCTGATTGAGAAAGGTCCAATGGAAACCCTAGTAATAAAAAGCATATCTTTTAACATCAAACTCTTAGTTTTTAAAAAAACCTAAATCCAAGACCATTTATGATGGTAATTGAACTTCTTGTTGTGCAGTTTATGCTGAAATCATATGAGAGATTTAAAAATCACCCAAGTGCCTAGCATGAGTTTGATTTGAAACCACAAGTACGATTAATCAGACCAAAATTGCACAACACTAAGTTCAATTATCACTTTCCTGAACTCATTTTGAAATTGTAAAATTCATTGCTTGAGAAACAGGCCAAATGTTTTTGATCCAGTACTGAGCTGGTTTGTATAAAGTTGCAAAAGTTGTTCTTCATTTTCCTGCAATTTGATTGGTTTCCTTAAACAAGCTACTGATTGTTTTATAAAGAGCAGCTTCCTCAGTGGATGGGAAAAAGATGCAATTTAGGGGAAAAAAATGGTGTGATTTATGAATAAATTGCACCAATGAGAGTCAATCAGATTACAAGAATCACCAGAGATTTTAAAATGGATATAATAAATCACTCTATTTTGCAGCAGATGATAATTTTATTGATGTTTATCCTATCACTGTGTACCGGTAGTGCCTTGAGGAGCCTTAAAGCATATTCACAAATATAAAGACCCATCAAAATACTTCTTTCTGTTCAGACATGGGCCTCCTGTTTGAACAACACTGCAGTCTATCTCAAGACAAGTTATTTTCAGAATAGCAATCGAAAAATCATCCTAAGCTCCAATGAGTGACCAAGACAGGATTTCTCCTTACAATATCAAAATAATATCAAGCAATCAAGACAAGTGATGAGAATTAAGAAAAATATCAATTAGGGGAGATTTCATAAGTTGATCCAAGACCAAATTCTCAAGTCTAACATCACAACAATTTTGCAGCAGACAGTAAGGAGTTAACCTTTGATATCTTGGGAGCAAAAGGGTTAGAGCCACTCACCTATAATACCAGTTCCCAAAACGGCTGCAATGGTTGAAAAATCTAAAACGTAACACCAAGAGAACGAATGCAATGAAATTTTAACAATTATTTAAGGCGTTATGCGGACATGCTTCCCACTAATAAGCAAATTTGAGTTTGAGAAAAACCAGTTTATCTCGGGCAATAAGAAGACGAAGCAGTCACTGCCGAAATAAGGGAAGTCCACATGCTCATTATTAATTTAGTAGAGTAATTTAGGTGTTGCAACTATGTTAAAAAGTTTGTAACTTCGTACCGAAAAGCAGTTTGCTTGGAATTAAACTTACAACATTGAAGATACACAAGAAGTTTCCATTTTCTTCCCCCTTTACTGCCGATTGTTGAGCTCTGAAAATCGAGGCTTTCTGAGAGCAAATTATCTTCATCGTTTCCACATTCCTCTAGCTCAGCTTCGTCCTCCATGTTTTGGTTAGTGCGCAGGGCGTTGTGGGAAATAATCATCGAACAGTTCCTTACCGGGGGTGGGTACATACTGGCTGGGTATTGCGTGATATTTCAGGGAGAAACCGTGACCAGCTTTAACCCTTTAACTCCCAGAAGTGATTAACATGTAAGTTCTCCTTGTAATATCCATACATAATCCACCAAACAGGTAATGAGAATACTCAAACTTTTCAGGCAAAAGTTGTTTTCTTGGTCTAACATCAAATTCTTGTCATGTTACTTATTTTCAAGGAAATTTGTAGGAGCTAGAGGGGAGAATCTACGATCAGATCTTGGGAGCTAAAGGGTCAACCGCACGTGATAAGGGTGGGATGTAAAGTCACCTTTCCACTGGTGAATTTTCCCCTGTTTTTGATCAACCGGTTTTTGCTTCTGTTCCTCAGCAATCTGTTCGCTTTTTGTGTTTTGCGTTTTTTTTTTTTTACGACGCTTTTTGGCGAAAATTTTGTCATGTAAAGCGAAACCAGGAAAGAAAGATTGAAATATGCCAAAACTGATTAAATGTTTCCCGCCCCAAAAATACACTAACAATGATAGTTTGAATAAATTTATTTAATGCAAAGATCATCAACAGCATAAAAATCAAGCAGGCGAGCAAAATAGATCAAAGGGAAAGCAAAATTTCAAAAATACAGTAGCATTTTTCACATCTCATGTTGTAATCGCGAGGAATTCCTGCAGGAAAGCTAAATGTCTGATTGATTAATCTAATGTTCTCCTCTCTGATCAGTAATCCGGGTATATAATTTGTGCACTGTTTGCTGTTACAATATTTAAGGATCAAACTGAATATTTTCGTCAAGCGTCGCCAGTTCACACTCGTTCATAGAAAAGATGAACGAATTCATTTGTACTTGAATATGACATCTATTTGGAAGCAAAAAATCGTTTTGAGGCTTTGGTCTTTCGCCATAATTTCTGCTTTTGCTTTTTTCAAGTGAAAGTGTGGAAAGATGTCCTTTAGATACAGGGACATTTTTGCGTCGTACTGCTGCTCTGATTTCAGTGGACACACCAGCCCGTGATTTTTGCATACATCATTGTCGGGGTACGGAAAAGGCACACGCAACCCAAAAGCCAACACGAACACTTTTATCGTTCCTTTTTCTACCATTTCACTAGGAGTGAAGGACATGGAGGCATTGATAGTTGAACCGATTTCAAAAACGCACGGATCCGATGAACAGGAAGGGATATCCACAGATTCGATATCCGAGTACCCTCCACATTTTTTGAACGAGAGTTTCTTGCCAACTGCCAAAGTGCTCAAGGTGGTGAGGATGCAGACCAGAAAAATGCTGGTTATCTTTACAGCCATGCTCAAGTAAAAATAACTGACTGTCAACTGCAGCAGCTCGATAGAATTTTACCTCCACTGATCACTGCAAAGGTTCCTACGCTAGGATTACTCTTGCTCATGACTCAAAGTTCTCATCATCGAACTTGCGCTGGTCATGAGATGTAGGCCGGCAAATCAGAAGATCAACCTCCACGCTGTCCAAACGAGTGCGACGAAAACATTGAACGTGATCAACCCAGCAACAGCATTCTGGGATAAAATACCAAATTCTCAAAACTTTCATATCAGAAAATATGTAGAAATAGGTTAAGAGAATAAGCACTTGATGTTAGGAGTGAGGATTGAGGTATATTTTCAGTTCAGTGTCGTGTAGTTTTCTTAGCATTTCTACAGGTGAAGATTTACACGTGAATAAGATCAAAACATGCATGCACGGTTTTTCCCAGGCAAATATTTTCAAGTACTTAGTTGTTCACGATCAATCACGTTTTCTGAAATTTGTTCGAAGCTTTAATTTCCGCAAGGAGGTTTTGTGAAGTTTAATTCTAGGACTAATAATAATAACACGAAATCCAAACTTGTCCAGCAATTCTGGCCGAATATATTTTTCTTGTGAAACTGTAACTGATGGTACATCACGACTAGCTTGCATACAGAGCAGGCGCAATTTTGGCGAGCGAGTGCTCAATAATATCACAACGAAAATTATGACCGCCATCTTTGATTTTAATAGCAGCGGAAGGTCTGGAAGAGAAATAAATTTGTACCAAGGGGGGTGGTCAACGGTTAAAAAACAAGGAGAGGGGTGAGGGTGGGGAGTGAAGATCACGCCCTTCTACCCTCTCCGTCCACTCTAACTCCAAATCAAACATGCCCGGTCGGATAAACGATCGTGGGATTATAACGTTAGCTCGCGCTGATAAGACGCTTGCACCGTTAGCTACATCACGAGAGAAGTTGGACTTTACAATGAGCGTGCGCCTCACGTCGCCTGAGGAACTCAGGCTGTGTATGGGTACTGAGGTTAATAAAAAATAGGAAATACAGTGGAAACTCGCCTAAGCTCGTTATTACGGCCTCTTTTTTTGGCCCGGAAAAACGGCCCTACAATTTCTTGTCATTATTGTTATCACTATAATCATTTATGTGTGGATCACTCTGACTCTTCAAGGTTTTTCAACGCTTTAAAAGATGCGGTCATCGGTCAGATACAAAATTAATTGAAACTCAAATATTGTTCAGTTTTCGGAAGCTCATCTCCAACGACTCGTACCTGGATGTCAAAGCAAACTAACACCTTTCCATTTATGATGAGAAGTGCCATTTCAGCGACCAACAGAATCCAAGGAAGAGCATCCCCAACCGGAACGTAAATTTCGACCTTGTACTGGATTCTTGGCTGAAGTGGACACTTTTGGCCCTGGGACAGCGTGGCATAAGGATTTGACTGAGGTAAAATAAGGCGAACCTTGTAAGAGTGCACTATTGCATACACTCTCAGTTCTCCGTCAAAGATTTTTTTTGTTGAAGTTGAACGTGATGGTGCCGTTAACAGTGGTATCTCTGTGGAGATTGCATGGTTCCTTCAGACAGGGAGAGATGTTTACCGATTTCAGTGAACAAACTGCCTTTCCTCTGTTAGTACATCTTGTGTATCTTCTGACTCATAAGGAGCATAAGATGACTCAGCCATATCCCGTATGGCGTGACATTGTGTATGGCGTGACATTGCGTATGGCGTGACATGCGTGCTAGACCACTGTTATCTTTCACTTATAGATGCGGTAGGCGATTATATGTTGAATTTGAAAGAGACTACAAAACATTTGTTCGTAGGAAATACTCTTTAACAAATCTAAGGGGATTAATAATGACTTGGGATGGTTAAGATTAAAACAGATTGCGACGAAAGAACTCGAAAAATTAAGACTGGATTTCTTAGATAAATAAGGTAAGTTATGCTACAGTAGCATGATACCGCTGCTGAAAGAATCACGTGAGTAACACAACGTTGCATGCTTAATTAGCCGATGAAAAGCGCCCAGAAGTCTACCAGCTGCGCAAATCCCTTTTTACCTATAACTCAAGCGTTTTCACAGTCATGTAAGAGCGACTGTTTATTGAGTCTCTCCGGCGAGACGGGAGGAGAAAGAAAAGACAGGAGAGGGCAAGCGAACAAGAAACAGAAGTTGAAATACGAGCAATCGTATGATAAAATGCCTATCGTCTTAGTAAGGACGCGCCAGAGCGGAAAAATATTTGGCTCTCTAGTATTTCGTACAATTCAAGACTATTCAGGATCAAGAGGCCTGCAAATATAAACGAAATGTAGACTTTTCGATCACTTGCTTTTTCTACTGTAAATTTCCACATGAATAGGGCTTGCGAAATATATTTTTTAGTCTTGTCACGAGCGTGCATGGCGTAGGACCAAAAAAAAAAAAAACTAAAGACAAGAAAAAACTCGGAGTCCCCACGAGGAATGAAGCCTAAAACTATCCGATTCCGTACCCCAATGCTTTCTTATAAGCAATCTTTGCACACATGGAAAATTTTAATGAACTTCGTCACCGAGATCCACAAAGACATGGCCACGCGGCAGAGCATGGAAAAAAACTATTCACTCGATTCCTGAGGACTCGATCGTAGAAACTGAGATTGCAGTAACCTAAAAAGTCCTTCCTCTCGTTCCTGCAAATAGGAGGTTTATGAAGGAAAGTGATAAGACGAGACATTTTATCGAGAAAGCCTTGTTGGCCGCAAAGCTCGTGTAAACCGAACCTACTGTTATTACTTCGCAAGGCGTCTAGGTTTTGTGTCCCTTCATGTATTGTTTCCATAAATACCACGTGAGGCATCCAGAAAACACACGTTGATTTCAAGAGATGGTACGATAGTGGTGTGATTATGATCCGGTTTATCCTGTGGGCGTGCTCAATCGATCTCGCCACGAGTTACAAGCGGAAATATACCAAAGATGGAAATCTCTGCTGTTATACCATAAAATTTTTCTAAAGGAAGTAATATCGTTTGAACGATCCATTCGGCTGAGAATAAAGAGAGAAACCGAAATATCGCCTGCGCTGTTGCGTGATTAAGTCCATATTAAAGCTCATCAATAATGCAAAGATTTCAATGTTTCACAAAAGTTTGCATTTTACATTTTTATCAAAAACTTCAGGGATTTAATGGTATACTACATTAATTTTTCTCTCTAAAGAAAGTTTTCACTGATCACTACGAAGCTTATTTTTTTCGACAAACTAAATAACATGCAATTACTGACAATAGAGTTAGTGTGTCCGGAAACCGAAACTTGTTCGGTAAAAAATTATACTTTACCGCGCATACATAACATTCGTTATTCTTAGTGTCTTTGTACTTAAACATAATCAGCTTCTTAAAATCTATTTTCTAAGACGTCGTCAAAGTCTATCCAAAATTGTGCGAAATCAAGGTATAAACATTTTTGCTAACTTCAGGATCAATCTTGATTAAAGACTTTGTCCCGTCGTGTTCAAAGTTCCATTTGTAGTTGACAGCGTCAAATCGATCAAATTAATTGCTAACAATTATTTCAGACGAGCTTGCGATTCTTGCCGGGAATTCAAAGCAAAACACGTACTTGCCATTTTGGTCGAGCATCTCCATTTTCGCTATCAGTTGAGTGCTCGGGTACGCATCCTTTATCTCGAGCGAAATGACTGTCTTGTATTCGACGTTGGGCTTCAACGGACATTCAAGTCCATGGCCAGTGCATGCTTTTGGTTGATCCAGTGGGAAAGGCAACCAGGGAAGAGAAGGAAGTTTTCCATACACCTTTATCAAACTATCATTTGTTATTTGCTCTTGGGATTTGAATGTTATCGTGCCATTCGCAACGCTTCCTTTCTTGAAAACGCATGGTTCGCTCGGACACGGTGTGATGTCGACAGAAACAACAGTTCCATACGCTTGTGTTTCCTCAGGGCACTTGTTGACATGAATAATTTTTCCAGCTACCGAAGAAAAAGTAAACGCCACAAGGTATAACAGGACGACTTTTAATTCCTTTACAGCCATTTTCAGCTCTGTTTCAGTAACAGCTTGCAGCACAAGGTTTGATCCAAACGGCGAACGAAAGTTATTCTTATATGGTGTTGCGTGACATCATGTGACATCACGTGACATCATGTGATGTGAAGCGCACGCTCAAAATAAATTTGTCCCCAGGATCTTTTATTCTTAGCGTATGAATCAGATCCTCAAAGAGGGAGGAAGAAGGGAACTAATAAAACAAGGATGAGATAATTAATAGAGAACTTTGCAAAACCGTCCGAAAATGTATGATATCAAAATAACTGATGTTTTTCGCATGATAATCATTGGGTCCCAGTCTCCCAGAAGTACCCTATACTATTAAGTAGTCTTCGTTAGACAAAAATAATGAATTGTAGCGAACTTTTCGAGCCACAGAGACTCTACGGTGAGACATACCTATTACGAAGTTCACATGACACGCATCCTGTATACTGCTGGGATCAGCAGTGTCGATAGCGTCATGTTTGTAAATGTCGAGAACGATTTCTTTATAATGAATGATTAATGTTATAAATTGTCACACAATGTAACGAAATACTAGACTGATTGTAACGCGAATAGGAAGATTTCGTGACATGATATTTCACAACGTTGTAAACAAAGTTCAACACTGATTTGCATGCGTACAGTGAACTAAATAAGGGAAAGAAACGTGTAATTGTGAAATTGCAACTAAAATAGGGTATATTACAGTACTTTGGGATTGGGAATTTACTGAACTCATGATTGTGGGAAAATTACTTTATTTCGCAACTAGAACTGTAAAACGAAGTAGCACTGAATTGTAATAGAGATTGGTTTTAGATCGTTAGAGTGTTAGTATGTTCAGATTGTCAGAAGTGGTGGAAGAAAATAAACGCGTTTAGAAAACAAAGAAGTATACAGTCCTCTTGATTCCGCGACAGTAAATAGAGGAACAGAGATGGTAAGTTTTGAGTTCGGTAAAGAAATAGAGAAAGATGTTTTTTCGTCTTGTCACGAGCGTGAGATGAAGAAAAAATTCTGAGTCCCCATGAGGAACTGAACCTAAGGTCTTCGGATTCCGTGCTCCGATGCTCCACCACCGAGCTACAGAGACCCTACGGTGAGCGAGGTCTATAATTACGAATTCATGTAACACGCGTTCTGCATACTGCTTGGATCAGCGATGTCAATAGCGTCATGTTGGTAGATAGAATAAAAAGATGATAAGTTTTGAGCTCAGTAAAGAAATAGAGAAATATTTTTTTCTTCTTGTTAAAAGGGTGGGATAAATGAAAATTCTGAGTCCGCACGAGGAAACGAACCTCAGAGCTTCGGATTCCACGCTCCGATGCTTTACCACAGGGCCACAGAGACTCCACAGAGAATAAGGTCTATTACGAGGTTTATATGACACGCGTCCTGCATACTGCTTGGAATTTTTTCTGCTAAATCTTTCTGCTCATTTCTTATAAGGCGAGAAAAGCAAAGCGAATAGAGAAGCGTAGCGCGCGCGTTAAACAGGTTTTTATAAAATAACCAACTGTTCAAATAACCGTACAATATCGCAGGATATTTGTACTCTACTCGCGCGGTATTTGTACTCTACTTTCTGCAATTAGATGATAATAGTGGAATAATATATCTCTTGTTTGATGTTTCAACAAATAATAAAAGCGGATATTTTGCTCGTATTTTTCCTCGCCTCTTCGGAGCTCGAAAAAATACCACGCAACTCGCAAAATATCCACGCGTATCATATGCCTAACCATTGAATGGGATGTATGTATTTAACGGACATCTTGGGTGTCAATCTGGTCCTTGCCGGTATTTGTTTTACTTTCCGGGAATTTAAGGACTCTGAGCTAGATAGATGTATACGAGATACACTAACCAAAACATTGACGCACAAGAAATATAGAAATAATTGCACTGAAAGGATGCAACATAGTTTTATTTCCTCTTTTATGATATAGTAAGAGAGAACTGATCTTTCCACGATACAACAATCCAGTTAAAAAGTCCTCAGACAATGTTTTTATACATCACTCAAACTAATCTCTTCAACAGTAACTCGAGGACTCAAATCAACTTTTACGAACGGAACTTTCGATGTTCTCTGATGGCCAAAACAATCCTGCACCCATAATTCCACCAACACCTCCCCAGCGGGGACTGCGCAGTAACCTTCGAGTCTCACGTGACGATATTCCATTCCTGCGAATTCCTTGGTGCCTTGTAGCCTGGCTTCTATGTTAGCGTTTTCACACTCGAGGTCGTTAAATGCAAAGAACCACCGCTTGCAGCAAGAATTGCAGAAGCCGACGCGCATGCTCCCTTCAAAGATCACGTGCAAGAAACTCAGATTACTTTGTTTTGTGAAGACACATTCCTGAAGAAAGACAGGAGACAACATTGTAAGGGATTGGTCATTATTTATTGACGGGACGGAGGGGGAGAGGGGGTGAGAAGTTTTTGATTTTGTCACGATAAAGTTTACCTGTTCCCTTGGCGACGACTGATCGTCCCTCCGTCCCCACTGAAAACTATATAACCCCCCCTGAAACCCTAAACCCTCCCACTCCACTACTCTACTGGGCGATAAAAATAACCTGCACCGAAATAATTTTGAAATGTCGTGAGAACGATGGTGGTTTTTAATCACCGGGACGCAAAGCAAAGTGCGCTAGTAAACGACGCGATAGTAGCAAAGATGTGAAAACACATCAGGGAGGCTTGGGTCGAGTCGGGTCACGTAGAGACGCGTACCCAAACCGAACGTACGCTACAATCGCACCTCGTTTCGCTTTGCTAAACGTCTGGAATAGGCTAATAGAAGTACTTGATAAGAAGGTAGGACGCACGGGTTTGAACCTCATTGAAGCCTAAATCGTTTCTAATACTGAGAATTACGATTCCAGACTGCTCGCACATATTCAATTCGTCCGTAGCTAAACCTCGGCCTATCCAGAACACGCCCGTTCAAAAGAATAAACTAAGCTAGTCGTTCGTGATTCTTGTTTTTATGCGCGTGGTACACAGGGCACCTCCGTAACACAGGACACCTTAACACAGAATATCACCTGCTTTCGAGTACAGTTAAAACTCGTTGTAGTGATTCTTCACAAAGAGGAGCTCCATCAAAACTTTATATTTGTGAAGCGTGTAAAAAGGTTGTACCCAAATGTACAATAGTAGAAGACTAACCTTGAGCAGCCCGTACTGTTGCAGAGGATCATGGTCCCATGTACAAGTCTTCCAGCTGTAGATTGATCCAGATCTTCCCGGCTGACCTTTCGGTCCTTCTATGCCAGGAAATCCGCGGGACCCTTTGTCCCCCTTAGGTCCACGGACTCCCTGTTCCCCCCGGGTTCCTCTGAATCCCTTATTCCCAGGGAATCCTTTGGGCCCTCGTATACCAGGAAGGCCTGCGATTAAAGAAAAAAGGTAACTATCTTATACGTGGATACTTGTCCTATTTTTCGTTTGTTTCCCACAAAAGGGTATTAAAGAAATGCTCATCTATTGTTAACATGTTTAGATCACTTTTTCATTTTCTTTCGTAGCAACACTTCATATACACCAGTAATGAGAATAGTGAAAAATTATATTACCTGGTTCGCCTTTCCTCCCTTTAGGCCCAATAAGTGGAAAGGGGTCCACGATATAACTGGATCCCTTAGCACCTTTTTGGCCCCTTATTCCTTTCCTCCCAGATGGCCCTGTTGGTCCCGGAATTCCGATGGGCCCACGGGGTCCGGGAGATCCGATGAAGTCTTTCTTGCATTTAGTCTCTACCTGTTATTGGATAAAGAAAGGTGGATGAAAAGGTGAAAGGAAGGGAAATAAAGTGCAAACTATTGATATGGTTGATCAATTACTTTCTGCGATGATGAAATTTCCATTTCATTATGATAGCATATGAACTTACCTCCTGTCAAAATCTTTCTGTTATTTTTTTTCTCTTTCACTCTGTTTTTTCTGATGCAATAAGATTTTGACATCTTTTCTCTATTTCCCAGTTTTTGGCCGTCTTCTGTCCTTCTCGAACCCTCCCATGGTTTCTCTCCCCTTTAAGATAGGGCATTCGATCCTTCAACTCCCAGGAGCAATTAGAAAGATTATTTCTTCCAACAGAAGCAAATACGTGTCTTTGTTCGTTAGTCTTTAGAATTTGGTGTTTTATCCTACCAGATACCCCCAGTTAAACCGATATTTTTTACCCCTCAAAACCTGACTTTTGAACGGTGTGTCAAGACTGTAAAGATAATATATGTGGCTATCATACTCGAGAGTTATGAAATTGATAAATTTCTCCAGATTTGCGCGTTTTCGCGGACCTGAATTATAAGTTTTGCATTTTTTGGCTAAAAAAAGATATCACAGATGGACACCACAGGAACCCTACGTTCTGTCGTTGTATCTTACCTGTTCACACAGTAATTTTCCCCAACGAATTTTGCTTTGAGTATGAACTGCTTGACAAACGGATAAGAAAATTATCAACTCCAGAATTCTTGCCATCGCCTGAGAAGTAGAAGCAAACAATATAATCAACTGAAAGTATTGGAAAATGAATTTTTTTGAAATAATCAATAACAGTAAATTTGGACGCACAATGTGAAAGATATCGACAGACATTTCGCACTTCGTGTGCGGGAGAGACAAATGCACGCGCGAAAACACGCGTGGATTGAAACGATTTGCGCTAAAGAAAGTGCGCTCTGTCATTCGCGGGCAGCCGTATCTGTAATTGAACAACAAATGGGAACAATACAGCCTGACGCAACGAAAATCGTAGAAAATTGAGTTGCAAAATCGAAATTTAACAGTCTGGCTACAAGCCATCTGTAAACATTGGACTAGTAAATTTGTATGCGAGCATAAAGTGGTCCAACCATAGCGCAAGAGCTGAAAACGAATCAAAATATTTTTGATAACGGTGAAAAATATTACGCAAAAATAACATTCGCTGTAAAGATACTCACCTCTGTATTCAAAGTCTTGTGTGATTATCTGAATGATGAAAACCCACGGAGCATGTTTGGTGAAAGATTATAATCTTCAGCATGTGGGCTCTGTGTCAAATGTCGGCTTCCAACAGTTAATTTTTTTTTTATTCTTAAAGAGAGTTAATCTTTTCCTGTTAAGTCACGAAATGAAGTGTGATTGGGTGGCAGGGAGGGAAGGGATAAAAAACTGTAGGAGTGGGGTGGGGCCGGGAGATTTGTCATAACCCGTGCCGGCGGGAAGCCGAAATGACCTTATTTAAGTTTTGACGTGGATCCAATACCAAATTCTCTGAACTAACATTAAAAGAATTGTACGGCAGACAGTAAGGAGAATTACTGATGCAATCTTGGAATTAAAAGGGTCAAAGGAAGAGCTGCATTGTACTTTTTTTGTGCGTAATTAGTGTCATGGCAGAGTGGTACTGGGCATTGTGAAATAAGAAAAACATTTCCCGCTTTTCCTTCACAGGTCAACTCAACCTGCTCAGTTTAGACTCGTTCTAATCTAAGGCAATACAAAAATGATGATTCTTAGAGTTTTTTAATGAAAAAATAAACTACAGAATCTGGATGAAACTTTTCATTCCTGGCCTGGGTAAAAATCTCTGAACCCTTTAATAACGCCTAAGAAGCGCGATTGAATGCAGCTTGTTTATATATCTTAAAATATATCTTAAAACTTCCCAAGAAACTTGTTGGATCGTTTTTAGTCTTACAGAGAACAGCTGAAATAAGCAACGTTCACCACTCTGTTACTCTTAGGGTGTATAATTGTGAGCTTGCGTGTTACTTACTTAAATATCTATTAAAAAAACGTGGATTAATGTCAGGATCTGAGGAACTGCGCACCCACACCTCCCCACCCCTTCTCACCCCTTGTCGACTGATAACAAGTTAGGTTTAATGCTGGGTTAGGGGAGGGGCTGGTGCGCAGTTATTTAGATACTGACAATGCAACGCACCTAAAAAGTTGTAGCAAAATTCAAATCAACTTGAATTAAATTCCAGAACTAGGAAGCACTTTTTAATCAAGCGTTTTTAATAATACTCTCATATTTAAAATTGTGGGGCGGGAACTTCCTGAATGATCAGCCGACTGTTAGGCTGCATAATGGTGGATATATTCTCCTGGTCCCTGGGATATCCGGGGCAATCATCCAGTGAGATCCCTACGCGAACCAAGCCCCTAGGGACTGAGTTGCAATACCCGGAGATCGTTCCGTGCATAAACGTTGGAAGAGAACTTCTTTCACCACCAGTAAGTAAGTTCAAGGCGCTGAACACAGCGTTGATGTTTCCAGGGTCGGTACACGTCAAGTTGTCAAAGGTGAAGTGCCAAGTCTTGCAACAGGTCTTGCACAGACCGATATGTGTCTCACCCTGGTAAGTAACATGAAGTGAAGTATCGCTGCGCATTTTTAAAAACGAGCAGAACTAGAAACAGAAAGGATAAAATGAAGATGAGATCAAGCTGAGTCGTGTCATATCGACTTCAAGTACCCCAGGTGACAAAATATTAAAAAAGACGGCGTGCGTTTCACTCAGTCAGTACTTCAGACATTCGGTCTTTTACTAAGTCGGTTGGACGTTCAGTCAGTTGGTCAGTTGCTTAGGAAGTTAGGGCAGAAAGTCAGTTGGTCTGTCAGCCAGTCAGTCAATCGGTTGGTCGGTCGGTTGGTTGACCGACCAATCAGTCAGCCTGTCGGTCAGTCAGTCAGTTTTTCAGTTAGTCAGACAGTCAGTCAGTTGATCAGTCAGTTAGTAAGTCAGTTATTTTGCCCGTACATCAGGAAAGTGAGGAATCTTGAACTTCAATCGTTGGAGTACGTCTTTGTACTTACAGACAATTCTCCTCGTGTTGTATTGATATCTGGTTTGAACACACATTGTTTCCAGTTCAGCTCGCTCACTCCAGGGTCTCCATTGATCCCGCGGGGTCCAGTCTCGCCAACTGCTCCTCTGTCTCCCGATATTCCCGGAGGTCCCCATGATCCCAGCGCCCCTGACGCTCCGGGTATCCCTGGTTCCCCCTTCAACCCGTTTGCTCCTTTTGCTCCTTCTTCTCCAAGGTCCCCTTTTGCTCCTTTCACGGGAAATCCACCACCTCCCTGTGGGGAATCACCGGGCTCTCCCGGAAACCCTCTGTCGCCAAGTGGACCACTTGATCCCCGGGTCCCTTTAAAACCTTTGAGTCCAATTGATCCGGGGGGTCCTGGAAGACCGGAAAGTAGCTCGCACGACTCCATCATCTGCAAAAAAAAGTTACATTAATACTTGCCTTTTTTTGTGATTGAGGATCAAATTCTCCCTTACCAGAAGAGCAAACTGGGTTGAGAAACTACCTATAGAAACTAATAAGTTTTACGGTGCAAGAGTCACGCTCCACGGGTGTTTGACTCAGCGCTTATTTTTCCGTATATCGTATCATACCTGCGTCATTTAGAAACAGGAGAGGGGGTGCCAACCCAAGGAGGGGAAGGGTGAGTATATGGAATGCCGAGCTAAAGATCGGCTAAAGATTTTGTTATCGAGTGTATAATTTTCTGTAAATGGTTTCCATTTGGAAATATGTTTACATTAAACTCTCTCTAAGAAACTGTTGGCTTTACCAGAAAATGGCCTAGATTGTTGTCTTCTAAAAGGTCTGTTATTCACAAGACACAGAATAAGTAGCGTCAGCAGGAATATGTTCACTTAGAATGTCTTAATAAACGAAACAGAGAAGAAACCTCACCCTACGACATTCTGATGGTGTCCACACAATATCCCCTTGAGCAAAAACTGTCCTAAACACAACAAAAGACAGAAATAAAAGAGAGCAAGTTGCCGTCATCTCCGTCCGCTTTAAGCGCGTTGCGCGTCACGATCACATCAACTACAATATTGTGTCTGTTTTCTCTCACGAGATTACGTGACGCCGATAAGAATAGCGCAAAACAACAGGATGTCTTTCTTAACTGATTCATCGCAAGGGGATTTCCGGATTTAAAGAGATAAGCCCTGCTCGTCAGTTCGCAAAAAACAGCCACGAAAATTCTCGTTTTGAACAATATAGTTGTGCATTGTTTATTCATTGTCTTGGAGTGTCTCTGAAGGAAATAACAAGTAAACATTTGACAAAGATTCGTCAATACTATAGGACGGACCTAAGATTTTCACTTCTGTCGATTATGCGCTTTTACAATTCATACCTCTCTGTTTGAAGCGCTCCAGGTGAGGTTCGCGCGAGTGTATGAAACATGCGCGTATGAGAAGGTGCGGAATGAATAACTTGCACGATCGACAGGCGTGGGAGTCGCGCAGAAAATGATTGACTACAAGAATGAGGAGCTTTGTGATAAACAAATGCTGGCTAAATTGATTTATATTAGCTGCCAAAATTTCTCGCGAATAAACAACCAAGCCTTGCAAGCACTCATGAAATTTTCTGCTCCACAAGACGCAAAAAAAATTAAACTACAAACAGCTTCTCTTCTTCAGATTTATTCGTCAAACGCAGTAAAAAAAGAAACAAGGAAACCGATGATGCATTCCCGCGCAGAGAAAAGGCGGTTTCTCGACCCCAGATTGCGCGCGGCGTCAATTTTCTCTGTTTTCTTACACAACGGTCATATTGGGAGAGAATGAGTACTGCTATGAACACAGGGCAAGAAAGAGGAGGAATTTTAATGGAACAAGCTCTGATTATGAATGCTCCACTGTATGACTTTACCATCAAAGAGTAAAAGACTTCTTTATTTTGCGTAGTTATTAAGGAAAGATTTAAAGTTGTCATTGGCTTCACAGCTAGGAAAAGAACAAAAAATGGGACCGCGTTAACACTCGGGCTAAAAGAGAGACTGGGAAAACTGGTTACAGATATATTTCACTGCGCTGGCGAAACTTCTTGAATGAGTATATTTCCATAACGCTTGTACAGTTGTATATTGTAGGGTAACAGAGAGCTCGCAAAAGTCTTACAGTTCTCCATTTGCAGTCCAATTCGAATCGGCCCTGAAGAAAATCTTCTTTCACAAAAGCCTTCGATTCTGCCATAGGAGTAAAAGGGGTAATCACGACTCAGACCTCCCGACACAATCGCGTCGATAGGGCCTGGGTTGTTACACTCGGCGTCGTCGAATATAAAGTACCAACGCTTGCAGCAATCCTGGCAGAGACCAATCTGTAGATTTCCTTCATACACCACGCGTAAGACTGAGTTGGGGTCTTTTTTGGTGAAAATACATTCCTGAAAAAAAGAGAATTTATTTGGATCCGTTCTAGATTCAAATGTACAGAACTGATTAAAAGTATTTGAAATGAACACAAATTCTACATCCACGAGTTATCAAAGACAAATCTACGATTAGATGTCGCGGCTTGTTGCCGATGTGCATGTTAAGCGATTGTGTTTGTGGAAATCGATGAAAGACTGTTGTCTTTTGGAATCTGAGGCAATCCAAAGACCTCTTCGCCCTAAAGACGCTATGTCAAGAAGTTTAGCGCTTGGTTCTCCCAGACCAAAGCAGCTGCATAATGGTATAATACATATTTAAAAAAATAAATAAATAAAAAAAAAACAAAACAAATGTGTGGCTAGTAAACCTTTAGCAGTCCGTTATCTTTATTGCGGTTTAACTCCCAGGAGCAGCGCGTCCAAGTTCCCATGGTACCGGCGGACCCTGTCACACCAGGAGGCCCTCGCTCTCCAGGACTTCCCTCCGGGCCTCTCCTTCCCTTAACCCCATCAAACCCCTTAAATCCTTTCCTTCCTCTCAGTCCATTCTCTCCATCGTCTCCAGGGTCCCCGGGGCTCCCTCTCCTTCCTCTTTCGCCGCGATCCCCTGGGGGACCCCGCCGTTGACCCGTTGGTGGCCCCGGTGGTCCTGGGGGGCCGGGTCTAGATCTTCCAGGAGGCCCTCTAAGCCCCTGTGGTCCTGCAGGTCCTGCCGGGCCCGGTTCACCGCGGCTCCCAGCGATTCCTGGAGGCCCGGATGTTCCTTGGACGCCAGTTGTTATCTGATCACAAGCCTGAGTCATCTGAAGTTTAAAAAGCTTTCCGTCAAAACACGTCGTTAATCTGGTAAAATTCACTTTGCGGATGATTTGATCACATCGTAAAATAATGCGTATTTGACTAAAATAAAATCGTCATGTCTAAAGGCAAAACTTTGGTTTCTCCAATGACGCTTTATCTCTCGAGTATCTCATCACGATACACGATTATGCTCGCGTGACGTAAAGTAGTTGCGAATATCTCGTAAGGAACATTTCAAAGTCGGAGACAAAATGAGAGAAGGAGTGAGTAAAATCACCTTCGTACTTGGTTTAAGTGTAATGATTGTAAAAGCAAGTAGCGTACGCGGGTAAATTCGCGTTAGCACGCGTGCCGGCGTAATTTTCTCTCGCGCGTGTAAAAGGCGCGTTGGCAATGTATCATATCACGATTAGGGGATTTTAAGTAATCAGCTTACAGTTTAAAATTGGACGATTCATTGTTTATTCTCTAAATAATGGTGTATTGTTATCACTTTAACAGCTTAAAATAGATCTAATGCATTGCCAAGTTTACTCAGAAACTCACGCAAAAAATTGTCTGACAATCGCTCTCACTGAAAGAGAGAATTCCTCAGCTGGGGATTCGAAGAGGAAAGAGAATGGATAGGGGGTGTATGGCTGAAAGATTTACTTCTAACGGGGAGAAGGTCATTCTTACCCTTGCGCAGTCCCTGTTTTTCCAAGGTGTAATCCGGCTCTGCCCATAGACAGCCAAGATGAATACATTTTGAACGGCGATTAAAAGAGCAAACTTCATATTCTCATCGGCAACATTAACCTTCATCGTCAAAAATAAGGCAAATTAAAACAGAAGAAAACGAGATGAATTGGGAATAGCTTTGTGTTGAATAAAAATTATCTTAATTAGGTTTCTTCTCTGAAGCAAGAGCTTCATCTACGCTAATAAACATCATTATTTGAAGGATTCCAACAAGTGCAGTAAAGCTTTTCTTAGAGAAGCAACCGGGATAAAGTTTTCATCAAAAATAGTCTGTTTTGTGTGAAGAGAGGGGGGTGGTGCTTAAAACAAACCTATGTTCTGGGGGTGGGGGATGGGGAGGGGTATTGCAGAAATGTAAAAAAGTCAAGAACTTGGTATGAATTGTTACGGGGTTCTTAAATAAAAGTTACTTGCAGAAGAGTTAGACAAAACTCATTGGCCAGTAGATCTGGTCAGTTTGGGTTGTCTGAAGCGAGGAATGCATCGATCGTACCTTGAGAATTATGCGCAGATCATCTACAAAGTGAAAGCCGAACGGTCACTTGGTGTTGACAGTGTCTTTAGTCGACTCGACTCTCTCAATACTGTTAGCAACCAAAGCGTTCCGTACCAGAGATAACGTAGAAGAGTACAATGTATATACTTACGTAAAGGAGGCAGCGTATTATCGAAGTACGTGGTGTATTTTGAATCCTACCGTGTCAGTGAGTGGAGCTGCCAGATAACCTTTGGCCTTGTGATTGAATCTGGTCGTGTTTCCTGCAGGGAAGGGAAGTTCCCTGCCTGGATTAACTTAATCGGCTTTGTATGTCACGATCACGTA